ATTAGACATGGGGCAAGATCAAAACGGGACATGCGCAGGAGTGGGCGGCCAGTGGGCAAAACTTCATAATTTTGTTACACAAAAGCTCTTTTGCCGGTAAAAATGGGCATAGGTCAGAAGTAGGTCGTTAAATCAGATGAAGACCCATTCGCGATGAGCGGAGCGCTTTCGAACTCCTTGCTCAAACTCATGATCCACCACAGCGCATAGCCGGATTGTTGAGGGGTGGAGCTTTAATCAAAATATTCATCCCAGTTCGATGCGTTCTTTGTTATGGCCCAGAATTCGTTAGTGCGGAGTCCAACTGGTTATGTGTAGTAAAAATGATGAACAATAGTAGTAACATTTATAATGAACTATATTAAAATCATAGGGTAATTCAGCTATGCAAAAAAAAACAAGGAAAGCATCTCCGCACTGCACACCACATTTATATTTCGGGTCAATTAACCAGGGTGAGCGACGTGTTGGATAATTTTAGGAACTCATTTCTTGTTTCCCTTGTAACTCTTTTGTGAAAAGGTGATTTTGCATGATTAATCTTTCGCTGCCGGCTCACGTTATAAGAAGCATCAGACAACTCACTCGGGAATTTGTTTTTATGCGCATGGATGGCTACTGGGTCACCTGAAATCGCTCCTGTCGAAGCATACAAATATCGCGCTCATCTTGCAATGCACAATCGCAAAAGAAGGGGTGGACTGAATCCTAGGTTCAATCCGCGAGAATTCAATCCTTACTATGTATAATCCACAAGATTGGTATGTATGTATGTATGTATGTATGTATGTATGTATGTATGTATGTATGTATGTATGTATGTATGTATTTATGTATGTATGTTGTATGTTGTATGTTGTATGTTGTATGTTGTATGTTGTATGTTATACGCATGTATGATTGTTTGTTGGTTTGTTTGTTTGTTTGTTCAATGTGAATCAACATTGCCTGAAAACATCTTCAGAGGTTGAGACAAGTTCGGGAAGGGTGGAGCCCGAGTTAGTAAGATAAACAGAGCACATATGGACTTTGAAGAGCTCTGCCCACAGGGGCTCCTCAAAGTTAACTTGGTTCTACAAAGGTGCAAAGGCCAGAAAAACAAGAAGGAGAGTGACAAGGACCTAATACGTGCTGGGCATGCGTAACCTGAGCAAAGCTCTGCCTACGATGGGCGGGGCGTGCATTCAAGTAGAAAAGACTTTTTGAAACTAAGTATAACATGTATATCGTCATTTCCTCGAGCGGGCGTCAATATATCAATATTCGTCCCTATCACGAGCCAGAGTGGTCCAATGAATCGTCCTCGCTTCAAGGACACGATTCCTTTCACGATTCCTTTCATCCAAAGCTTTCGTGAAGAAGTCTGACCATCTCGTTGGCGGCCAGCCTAGAGTTCGTTTGATGTCCCGAGGGATCCAGTCAGTAACCGCCCTTGTCTAACGGTCATCACTATATCGCATAACGTGTCCGGCCCACCTGATCTTCGATTTCTAGGCGTAATCAACGGCATCCCTGATCTTCGTTCGGTGACGGAGCTCGGAACTCCGGATTCCCTTCTGCACTTGCGTGTATAGGGAAATTCCGAGCATCGTCCTTTCCAAAGCGCGTTGAATAACGCTGACAGCATGCTCATCCTGCTTTCGCGGAGTCCAAGTCTCTGAGGCGTACGTCAAAGCAGGAAGGACAGCAGTGTCGAAAAGGTGAGCGCGAAGTCCGACGTTCTTTGTCTTCTTCACTACTCTCTCGATATTCTTAGATGCTCCCCACGCGGCGCGTTTCCTTCTGCGCAGCTCTGGAGCTAGGTCGTTCATCATGTTGACTTCCCGACCTAGATACACATAGCTAGAGCAATCGGAGATATTCGTTCCGTTTAATGTGAAAGGAGCATCAGGTACCAGTCCGTTTTTCATGAACATCGTTTTCGTTAGGTTCAGCCTCAAACCGATCTTTCCACAAGCATTGTCAAACTCGGCCAGCATTCGTTCCGCCTCTCGATGTTCGGTGTTATAAGCACGATGTAGTCTGCAAAGCGGAGGTGATGTACGTAGCGGCCGTCGACCTTCACTCCCAAGTCTTCACATTTCAAATGACGCATGTTATTCTCGAAAGCGGCACTGAAAAGTTTGGGCGGAATGGTGTCGCCCTGCCGGACACCTCTCTTCGCGTTGATAATGACTTCCTTGTGGAATGCTGAGATCCTAGTCGTTAAGTCGTCGTCTAGCTCACGAAGCATCCTTATGGGCACTTTGCATTCCGACATTTACCGCGTGAATAGTCTAGCCAGAGTTCCAACAATAACTGGTTGAAGACTCTTCAGACGTTCTGGTCTGATCCTATCCGGAGCGGGCGCCGTACAGTTCTTCATCAACGTGATAGCATGTCGTATTTCGGGAGGAGAACCGAAGGAGCGATATTCGTCTTGCCTGAGATGGTGGGTAGGCAGGTGGACGTCGCCGTCGAGGAGATCCGAGTAGAAGCCGTAGATGACCTTCTCCATTACCCTTCGAGATGCAGTAACTGTTCCGTCAGGACGACGAACGGATGTCATCTTGGTCTTGTAATTGACGTCGGGTTTTGCGAATGCTCTTTCCAGGCTCGGAACTTCGTCCATATGGTGATCCGATCCCGTGTAGAACTTCGGAACAACAGCGATGTCAGTCAGGCAAAATCTCCGATTGGAGATGGTGTGGTCTATTTCATTATGGAACTGTCCACCAGGTGACTCCCATGTCCATCTCAAATGAGAGGGCTTCCAGAATTGCGAATTACCATGGTTGGTGTGGGTCGACATGATAAACTCGGACAGCCTTTCACCCTTCTCATTCCATTTCATTCGTGAGTCCCGATGTGGAGCTCTTCGGCCGTTCGTCTGGGGCCAGTCTTGGCGCTAAAATCGCCCACGTTGATCTTGAAGAAAGTGTGGTATTCTCTGTAGAGCCTCTCCAGATCCATATAATACGCTAATACGCTATACGCTTCCAACTTCCTTTAACTCGATGTTTGTGCGTAGGCAACGAAGATGGTTAGAGCAGGGGTTGAGCCACATTTTCTTGATCGCAAACGTCCGATTCGGGTTGTGAGCTTTCGTACGGATCGATGTTCATGGCCAAGTGCGTATTGACGAGGACACTTACGCCTCTGACGCCTGTGCTGTCACATGTTCCAAAGGGCAATTCTTCTCCAGTCTCAAATACAGCGTGCAGCGGGCGATGCCTTCTCGTCTCGGTCACTCGGATGAATACGTACTTGATCTTCCTAGCTTGCACCATCAGGTCTTCTATATACGCTTCCGATTCAAGCGTCCGTACGTTGAAACTACAGATCGCTTTTTTAGTCCTTCTCCTTTTTGGGGCAGTCTGTTTTGACCCTGAGATTTTAGCAGCCTCTCCCAATCGGTCCTACCCAACGCTACCGTATTGGGGGCTCCCTCAGGTTCAGCGGAATGAGGCCCATTTCTATTACTGTTTTTGGCGAGTAGATACCCAACGTGCAGCTTGTCAGGCGCTGCGTGGGGGCTAGGTTGATTCCGGGAGCTTACCGGGCGATCTCGGAGTAAAGAAAGTGGAGGAGGGGCTTTGTTCTTGGAGGCGGCCCTGAATCGCCTCCCTGAAACTTCCCAGTCACTCGACTGCAAGCTTTTGGCTGAGTCGATGGGCAGGATACCAACTGCACCCACAGACTCTCCACACATGTATGCATGGATACGCCTGCGAGAAACAGAATGTATATCGACCAGCACAGCAGATCAAGGAGTCCATCCTCTGAATCCACCTACGTCTCTGGGCAAGTACCGGTGACTTTTGTTCGGCGATTAAATCCCCTATCCGCCACCTGGGGACGCCCTACGTAGCCTCGTCACTAACTGGCTGGGGATCCTGCAGTGAGAGAGAACTCATTTGAGGAGATCCGTAGAAAACACAGTATAACTTTGTTAAAATACATTCCAGAACGCGGAAAAAGGTGATTGGAGGTTCCAGGAGATACGTGGTCAAATCATCAAAGTGCGCGGGGTTTGCATTGAGGTGGGCGGGGTTAAGTTCAAAAACTCATAGCTCTGTTCAAAAACGTTTTACAGTGCGGGAAAAAAAGTAAGTGGGGGTGTTAGGCGATATATGGACAAATATCCAAAGTGGGCGGGGTTTGCACTAAGGTGGGCAGTTCTAAAGTCTGTTATTCATCGGTGTTGTGAATTCTTCTAGAAAGAGATTAAAAAGGGTTGGGGTTTATAGAAAAAGACCTGAACGGTATTCAAAGGCTATTTATATGTAAACCACTAATGTCCGTGCATCTGTCGGTCTGTTTGTCTCTTGATGTGTTTATCACCACCTTGTGTGGTCCCTACGCTTTCGTTGAAGTGAAACAGAACGGGAGTGCATAATTCGTGTTCCGTGTACCTAGAGCGTTTCAATTTGTTGGAAGTACAGGAGGCAGGATGGGAACTCTGAAAGTAGGTGACAAACTAGAGGCATGCGCGAAAATTGTCGAGTTGGACCTGGATAGCACGGTTGACAGGTATACGTACTGTTTGGCAAAACTCCAATCGTTCCGGTTTGTGACCGACCAACAAACAAGAGCAGTTAACCGAACAATTTATCCGGCAGTTTACAACGAACGCGATTCGAAACAAACAACGATACAAAGAAAACAAAAAAATTACTGGGTGCTGGCACCGAGACCAAAAGAGTTCCGTCGAGGAGGGCAGCAGCCGGGGCATGTCCGTGGAAGGGTGGGCTTCGAGTCGAAATTAGAATAAGAATAATTCTCTGAGAGGTCGCCCCCTTATATACTCTCTGGGGCCTGGGAATCAATAGGTTATGCTAGATCTCCTCTCAGTCAAATCTCCTACAAGGCACGCCGCTTACGTGCATAAGTTGGCCCTTCCGACATGCCCTCCCCTCTGGATGACATCGTCCTCGATGTCGGCCTTTCAAAATTTGGCAGCCCCGCTCCTATTGCACGGGTTTTCTTTGCCTCATATACATGTTACGGCAGAGCAGTTCCTACATAATTATTATAGAGCTGTGCGCTTCCTTCAGGAGCGCTAACCTCTTGCCTTCCATGAAGCTGTTGCTAGCAGTACAAAGCACATGATTACCCTTGTCGAGCTTCACTAGCGCCTCATCTAGGCTCCTCCAGAGTCCCGATAAATTCAACCACTTGGATTGATTCTTTGAATTGATCGGTGGCCATGCTGTGGCAGTAGAACCTTCTTCTTCCAAATAGGACTTTGCCAAGCTAATCAAATTTGCTGTAGTGCATTCTGCGAAATCTGCTTCCTGGGGCCACACGATGACCCATGATTTGGAAGATCTCCATTCTTCCAAGACCTCTACAAGACGCTTAAAATTGAGCACAACTTTGGTGACGATCCCTCCGCGAATCCCGTCTTTTTTCATCGGGCTTGCGCCTTCGAATGCGGCGTATAAGACTGATCCTATTTTCTTCGAGCGGTCCCTGAGCGACTGCTCTTCGATCTCTTCGCGAACCTTTTGCAATGCCTCATTATAGGAATGGTGGACATGCTGATTTTCGATGGCGGTGTGCTCGGCTATACGTTTTGTGTTGCAGATGAAGTCGGTCCAGTCTGTGCATCGCCCATAAGCGGATTTTAGCACGATCTTGAACGAATCTGCATCGAAGCAGATGTGGCCCTCGCGATGATACTTGATTTTCTTCCCAATGTCAAGATCGGTGCGACGAAAAATACTACAAGCGAGCCAAACGTTCCAAAGACTCTCGATCTCCTCCGCGACAGCACCTGGGAATGATACCCCCGCAATATCTCCTAGCGTTGCTCCTTCAAAGCATCCATCAGCGCACAGGAACAGTAAATGTCATTTGTCCAACGGACTGAGCGACGGCGCACCACTGAAAAGAGCTTTTGTTACTTTGCATACCGTCATTGCTCCCTGGGATTTTTTCCGTCCCCTTTTTCCTCTGGTGGTTTTTGTATCAATTCGTTCGTCAGAAATACAGCTTGGCACAATCCTTAACATGTCGAACTGTATTCTGATGGGTTCTGCGTTCTCTCCTATTCTTGTTACAAGAGCTAAATTTTCGCTAGTTTCGGTAACTCTGAACGGTACAGACCATTCCGAAACTGATTTTGGGTGCAAACTTTTACCCTTTTCTTTGGGCGACAAAACACACACCCTATCCCCTACTTTAGGATGACGGACAACATTTACTTTATTCCTTTTATCATACTCTCTTTTCATCACTCCACGAAGCCGATCACTGTATTCTGCAATCCCTTGCAAAAGTTCTGTTTTATAGTCTTCCGTTGGTCTATCTATCAAGTACCATGACTGTCCAGCATTAGGTATTATGTTTGATGGGAAGTTAGGATCCCTGCCTTGCAAAATGAACTAAGGGCTCTCCCCCGTGGCTGAATGCGGTGTCATGTTGTAAGCCATAAGACAGAATGGGAGTCGCATATTCCACTCAGTAACACTCAGTGACATCGGCAAAGACGGTATCCCTTTCTAGCTGTGCCCTCCACTTCGTTTTTTCACTCAATCTTACTGAGTTGATTAGTGCGTTGTTCTCAACTTCTAGTGATTCTGCCAGTTTCTCACCGTTCCCCTGCTAAGAGCATCAGCTATTAGGTTTGCTTTTCCCTTGACATACTTTATGTGGAGATTATATCGCTGTACCTCCAACGACCATCTCGATATGCGCGCTGAAACATTGCTACGTTGGAATAAAGCGGTGAGGTCGGGGATCTGTTATAACGGTCGTCGGTAGCCCATACATGAGCATATGGAATCGCCTCAAAGCAAATACCACAGCCAGTGCTTCTAAATCCGTGATGTGGTAATTTCATTCGGCCTTGCTGAGTGACTCAAAATGAAGTCAAAATGGGTGTAAATGTCCATCTTCCCCTTCCTGAGAAAGTACTGCGCCCAAACCTGTCGTTGACGCATCAGTGCATCATATCACAAATGGTATGTCGCCGCGCCTTGCTGCTTCTATATCGGGCTGTGCCAAAACCGGAGCGCTGCATATCATGCACTTCACCTTTTCAACCGCCCTCTCATGTTCTTGGTTCCATGCCCATTTTGCCTTGGCTGAGGTCAGGTTAAACAAGCATCTCGCTTGTTCCGAAAAGCCTAAACATAATTTTTGATAGTATGAGGCCATTCCGAGGAATGTTCTCAACTCCTTCACGGTCTTAGGCCTTGGATAATCCCTTACCGCTGCCACTTTTCCAGGGTCCATGTGAACTCCTTCCGGATCTATCAGGTGCCCTAGGAAAGCCACTTTGTTCTGTAAGAGCACACAATTTTTCGCCTTTAGGCGTAACCCGGCTCCTTTCAGTTTCTCACAAACTTTACCGAGCAGCCCTAGGTGTCTTGCCTTTGTTTCCGTGCAAATTCAAATGATTATATCATCGATATAACAAAAAACTTCTTCTCCCAATAAGTCGTGGAGAACTTTATCCATGAGTCTTTGGAAAACATCAGGGCTTGTGCTCAACCCGAAAGGAGTCACCTTGTATGGAATAGCCCTTCTGTTGTAGTGAATGCTGATTTTTCTTTGGCCGTCTTGGACAATGGCATCTGCCAGTATCCACTACAGAGATCGAGGGTGAAAAAAAACTTCTTGCCTGCCCGACTTTGCAGGATGGCCTCAATGGTCGGGAGTGGTACGAGTCTTGTTTAATTTTCTTATTCGATTCACGATAGTCCACACACAAGCTAAGGGACCCATCCTTTTTCTCTACTCACACTATAGGAAAAGACCATGGCGACGAGCTTTTCTCAATAATGTCGCGCTTTTGTAAGTCTTCAAGCAATGCGCTCAACATCGGACGAATGCTCAACGGCGCGGGCCTTGCCTGTAACTTGACCGGTGGGTGTTCTGCCGTGTCAATCTCCATTTCTGTTAGTGTTGTGCGGGAGAGCTGCTTCTCTGACACCGCGAATGCGTCCTCATTTTCCTTCAATACTGAGACCAATTCGTCATCCAACTGCCCATTTCCTTTGCTTTTCTCTAACTGTTGTATCACCTGTTGTCTTCTTTCTTCTTTTTGTACTGCTCTATAACCTGAATCAAGCAGCAGTGGATTCAGGTCTTCCCACTTTTCGTTCCATTTTTCCGTACTCCATTCACCTACTTCTTCTCCTACCTTAAAAACAATAGCTGTGTCCCTATCGTTGTGCACTGAGATAGTGGTCCTTTGATCACACACCTTGAAGATCCCACTTGCAACCTCTTTCCTATTTGTCCACAAAACTCTTTCGTCGGGTCCTGTTTCCCTGCAGTCTACCTCAATCATGGCCGACGTGTGTGGGGGCACATATGTCCTTCTAGTCACTTTTGCTACCTCAACTTTATTAAGGTCGGTCCCCTTTCCTTTCGGACATCCGCTCGCTTCTTCTGCAACGAAGCCAATAATCGATATCCTTACTCCTAACTTCTGTAGCGAATTCATTCCCAGTGAAACTTAGTCCTGGGAAAGAGGCGTTATGTGAAAAGTTATTTTGTCTTCCCTGCCACCGTCAAGCGTTACCTCTATAGTGACTGCTCCCACTATTTTCATTTCATTGCCTGACGCATCTTACACAGGCCCTGTTCCTTAGCACTGAAAGTGGGGAGTGCATCCGTTGGCTTGCGCCTTTTCCAGCAACGTTATCGGTATGATGCTCACCATCGAGCCACTATCAATCAAGGCTGATGCCGTCATCACTAATAGCTTGACTTTCTTATGCATCAACTGCTCTACTCTTTCTGCGCTCTCACCTCTACCTTGCTTCCGGGTCTTCACCCCACAGCTACAGTAGCGCTCAAAAATCTTTGGTCAAACGCTTTGACGCTTTTTCGTTCATAACTTTTTTCTTAGTAGACCAAATCGCGTGAAATTTGGATATGTTTAACTGGAGCATATTTCACCCTACCCAACATTATTTGACTGCGAAGCTGCAATATCCACGTATAGAGCTAAGTGTTTGTTGCGGTAGCAGATTTTGCTAAAACTAAAGTTGTTGACGTCTGCACTTATTCGCATCTTGTGTGCATTTTTCTCATCTATTGTGTTCGGAATTAGCGCTCGTACACTTTAGACATGACAAAAAGGAAAGAGATTCTAGAAAGGCCATCATCTGTATTTTCAGTTGTTTTTGAGTTCAAGCTGTTCAGTATATCTGGAACATGATCAGATTGTAAGTTAATAGTGGTAAATATTCACCATACATACACGCTCCAAATATAGAAATTTCGCATGATTCGATCCACTAGGAAAGGAGTTACGACTGAAAAGTACGACTGAAGAAGCATTTCACCGAAGACTTTTGAGCGCTACTGTACGTACCGCTCGGATGATTTCCGATACCAAACATCTGTCGTTGGTCTTGCTTCCACCCGGACTACCGATTTTTGTACTTTCGCACTTTTCCGCGGACACTCTAGCAAAGTGGCCAGTCTGGGCACAGTTGAAACACTTTCTGACGCCCCCCTCAACCACTGGCCTGCTTTCGCTGAAAACGGGGGACTGGGGTAACCTTCCTGCCTGCCGGTTCACACTGCCCGCTGACTCAACCTCAGTTCGCTTGTGAAAGTCGGGTTCTCCTCCTGTCCGCCGCGAATCAATGCTCTTCCTAGTTTTCCATTCTACGGGTTTTCCTGCTCTCCTGTACTGACTTGCTTCGACCGATGCCCTTGATTGTTCTATGCTCAAAGCAAGTCGCTTGACTTCATCATATGCGTTCCCCGGACTCGCCCGGTGCAAAACACTTATCAGCTGAACATGTTCGGGCCACTCACGCAAATTTTCCAACAAAATTTGCGCATTCTCTAAGATCTGGCCTCGCCTGCACTCTCTGGGTTTGCTCTTCGAGACAGAATTTCCAAGACGACGCAAAGATCTGCAACGTCCTGCCCAGGTCTTATTCTCAGGCTGCGCAATTCCGTGAGCGCTCTCATAATCCCAGCCAAGCAGTCACTTGATAACAGCCGACCTAGCTCTTTGACTACCTCCTCGAAGCCTTTGTCAACGATACTGCTTGGCAGGGTTCTCACGATATTCTTTGCGCGGCCCCCTAAGTGGTCATGGCTCAATACCTCGATCAATGTCTTGTTATCTATTATGACCTTAATGTATTTCTGACGAAACTTCTTAATAAATTCATTGAAATTTTCATGCAGTTTCCCTTTGAAAACTCCGGGATCAGCACAAGATAACGACTGCACATAATTCGAAAGGCTCCTGACCTGTGCTGGCTGATCCCATTTCCAAACGAATTGTAGAGCTGTTCGAGTTGCGTCCTGAGCGCACATCACTCTGTGGGCCAGACTGATCCTGCAAGAGTGAAGCTATGCAGTTGTCTGTCCCCTGTGATCCATTTCTGCCGTACCTCTGTGGGCTTCCTTTATACCGCTCCCTGTTTGCCTTTCCATTGTCGATTTCTTCAGGCTCTTTACTGTAGCCACTAGCTGCAATGCGTCGACATTTAATTCATCACAACTTTTCCAGAATATTTCCATCCTTTCCATTGTCTCAATATACTCTTGCCAATCCTCTTTCGACTCTGTGCCTCTGACCCTTAGGGTTTTCCCGATCTCTGTTTCCAATAGGCGGGTGACGCCACTGCACCCTATTAGCGCTCCTATCTTCTCACACACCAGCTCAATTCCACCTGATAGGCTCTCTTCATGCATGCTCTTATAGCGGGCGGGAATTTTGTGTTCCCGCATATCAACAGGGATCTGCTTGATCATATCTCTAATTTCTTCTAACACACACACCAAATTCATGTGTGGGAACTCACCGGGGTTTCATTCCCCTTCCCATCCGGCTCGTATATTTCCACTTCATCTAACATTTTCTGCAATAGAAAGTATTACCTACGTTCTTACGTCCTTGCTTACGACGAACGACGAGGAGTACGACACGAGGCTAATCGCGAAAAACAGCAATTAATCGCGAAAAACAAGAAGCAATACGCAATCCACGAAGCCGATCCCTATGCGCCCCTTCTTGTACGAGATCAGTAGTCTTATACTGGCAATACAGACGCCCTAAGTGGTCTTGAGTCAATACTGGCGCCCTTTTTAAGTTCACCCTGAGTCGGTCTGATCAGCACTGTCCAACCCTTAGATGCCTGAGCCCTTACTTGCCCTTGCGTATGGCACCAATTTCCTCTGCTGGTAGCTTTCTTTTCTACCGCTCTACAGATCTGCCTTGTTGCGCGGTCACTCACTGAACTCTGCTGGAGCGGTTCGGCCCCCGTGTGCTGTTTGGCAAAACTCCAATAGTTCCGGTTTGTGACCGACCAACAAACAAGAGCAGTTAACCGAACAATTTATCCGGCAATTTCCAACGAGCGCGATACGAAACAAACAACGTTACAAAGAAAACACAAAGAAAATGTTGAGCGCTGGCACCAAGACCAAAAGAGTTCCGTCGAGGAGGCAGCAGCCGGGGCAGGTCCGTGGAAGGGTGGGCTTCGAGTCGAAATCAGAATAAGAATAATTCTCTGAGAGGTCTCCCCCTTATATGCTCTCTGGGGCCTGGGAATCAATAGGTCATACTAGATCTCCTCTCAGTTAAATCTCTAGCAAGGCACGCCGCTTACGTGCATAAGTTGGCCCTTCCGACATATACAGGTGTACACGACGATCGCTTGAGAGTTCAAATTTTTTTAAAGTGGCGGCATGATGGTAGGAGCCAGTTGTAGATTCCGCCTACTGGGGGATCGGTATGCGCGAAAATTGTTCCTCCGGAGTTGGGGCGTTTGAATTCAGAAGGGAAAGAGGCGGTAGAACTGGACTACCTGGACACTGTACGTTCCGAAGCCGACAATCCTGATGAGAAGCTTTTCACATTATGCACCGTCATTCCACAGCTTTACCCCTTCCAGGTGTAATAAGATTGGCGGTGTGGGGATGTTGACCGATATACCGACTTGCTATACTTATCTTTTTGTTAATGAGCGATCAATGATCACTTTATTCCCTTGAGCGGAGCAATGTTCCAACTCCGAGGACGTTGAAGAGACGTTCAGGGAATATACATAGCTGTAAACGCAGCGATCGATAATGGCAACCGATATTGACCAGTTTCGATTTGTACTACTCGATATGATGCTACTAATCACTACTTATTTTTTTCTGAGAAGAAAAGGGAAGGAGTTATGAGAGTCCTGTGTGTATGTATGTGTGTATGCGTGTATGAGTGCATGCGTGAGTATGCGTGTGTGTCCATGTGTGTGTGTGCATGTGTGTACATGTGTGTGTGCATGTGTGTGCATGTGTGCATGTGTGTGTGCATGTGTGGGTGTGCATGTGTGTGCATGTGTGGGTGTGCATGTGTGTGCATGTGTGTGTGCATGTGTGTGCATGTATGTGTGCAACCGTGTGTACATGTGTGTGTGTGCAACTGTGTGTGTGCATGTGTGTGCATGTGTGTGTGTGCATGTGTGTGTGTGCATGTGTGTGTGCATGTGTGTGTGCATGTGTGTGTGCATGTGTATGTGTGCATGTGTGTGCATGTGTGCATGTGTGTGTGCATGTGTGTGTGCATGTGTGTGTGCATGCGTGTGTGCATGTGTGGGTGTGCATGTGTGTGTGTATGTGTGTGCATGTGTGTGCATGTGTGTGTGAGTGAGTGAGTGTGTGTAAAGGTGTGTATGTGGGTGTAAAGCTGTGTGTGTGTCAGTGTATCATTGACTGGAAACTCAAGGCGTGCGCGAAAGTGGCCAAGTTGGACATAGATAGCACAGACTCGATAGGTGTACAGGCGAGAGTACGGGAAGGCTGATGGCAGGGGGCACGATTGGA